CCTTTGACCTTGTGACCTCCATATTAAGAGGGGTCGTCTACTCATTAGTGGGGACCAGTGTACTAAGTTTATTGTCTGTCAAGCAAATGATTTTTAAGATAATGAGAGCACAACACTTGGTCTAATGACTGACAAACAGGTGTGAAGCAGTACGTGAATGTCCCCTTTTTCAGAGTAAACGTAAATATGTTGAATTCTGGTAATTACCCCCCCCCCCGACCCCACACAACCCCCAAGAAATCAATAAAATTGGTTGAAAACAAAAAATGTACAACATGCTGATATTTTCAGCAACAAAATTTAATTTTTAAAAATATTTAACTAAGCAAAAAACCAAAATGAAACTCATTGTTGAATAAACGGTAATTTGAGCATGAATATGGCGTATTTCGTTGCCATGGCAACTGAAATAATATTTTTGTAATCATTTTTAGAAACTACACAATACCTGCTTTCAGAATATATATACATTGATATATACAAAAATTACAAGAAATGGCAGAAAAAATGCCGTAAAATCTTGATATCAATTTTCATTAAAAATGCTAAAAATCTTTGCCATGAAAGGGGTTAAGTTCTTTAAAGCGGGAACATTTCCTTAAACTATGTGAAAAAAATGGTCGAGATCTATTTTGCCATGTGTATGCCCTTGCTGCGAAAAGTTGATTAAATGGGCATATCAATGTTAAGGACATAGGATACTTTAAATAATTACAGAAATTAGTTAAAAAAAAATTTACAGGATTTTTCAATGCTAAAACACATATTTATCACGAAATTTCCTTAACAAACCAGTCTTATTTTCTCATCCTCCCCAAATCTTTACTTTTCATCTACACTGAAATTCAAAACAAAAACATGAAAATACAAAATCCGGGACCCCAAAAATATTTATAGATTTATTCCAATTTTACCACGAACAAATGAATTTGAATCTAAAATCAACAAAATATAAAAGCTTTGATTTAAGAAAAAACAAACAACTTTCCCCTTTTATTTTTCAAAGACTTTCCTTTGACCTTGATTAAATAAACATGTCATTCTTTTACACAGAGCACGGTTGAACAAATTCTATAACTCTCTCAATAATTAATTAAATAATAGAATTAAAGAAAGACGAGAGGCCCAAGGGCCTTAATGGTCACCTGAGTATATACAACCCCGTAAGGGATGGACAGTATGGAAAGTTTGATAAATACATAATAAAGCAAAATAAAATTGATAGGGGGAGGTATTGTGCTTACAAACAAGAGAAATATGACAATAAAGGATCTATAAAATATAGTTTGTCTAGTAATATGCAACAACTCTGAAAGTAGATTCATTTTTTTCCCCTGTATATCCCAGTGCTATTTACACTTTCATTTGGTACTATCACCAATTATAAGAACAATTTAGTCCTTCAGCATGAAACTAGTGTCGTCAACATAAATCCAGCATAAATCTTCATTCAACACCTCCTGCTCTTAAGCTAATATTTATGGTACAAATTTAAATATAAAGAATTTTTGCCTAATGTGTTTTATTAATCTATTACTTACAACTTTAGTCAACCATTAAAACTATAAAAGCAAAACGTTCAACGTTCAAAAGAGCCCTATCCTAGCACAAGAACCCCTGATTCTGTTGTCATGAATTTCACAAATCTGGTTAAACACACACACACAAACACACCCTCACCCTCACACACACACAAAACAAAAAAAACACCCTTGCTCATTACAACTAAGTTACCGCTTTGCCTTCTAGATGCCCAAGATTTTCAAAGAATTAATGCATTTTTATTATACGCGTGTGATCAATAGAGCTGCACACTAACTCCAAAACCCCTAACCAAGGGCCCATAAATTTCACAATTTAAGTAGAAGCACACTTTCTCATCATAGCCATGTAATTAGTTTGTCTGCTAGATGCTCAGAAGCAAAAAATCGAAGAAAATTTCTAAAAATTAAAGCATTTTTTTTAACTATATAATCAACAGACATCCCAACACCATAAAATCACTGGCCCCTGAGTCTTGAGTTTCACGATTTAGGTTCGGGAAGACCCTAATACTAAACACACATACAAGGTCTCGTAAATATCTCACTGTATTTTTGCAGTGAAGAGTTTGGACATGAACATAATATAATGTTCAAAACCCTGTTTCGTTGCAAATCTTAATGCCGCTGCACTCATTTACAAATTTCAAGACGAAATTTTCAGTTGTATAAGCTTTCCGAATTAATTTCATGGAATATATTAAAGAAAAGTTTTTTTTTCTATATAAAACATCTTCTTGCAAAGAAATGTATGGATCTTGTTTAATACGAAATCATAGCATGTCGCAAAAAGTCAATTAACTTTCGTAACGTTTTTGTTTTAAACTGCACACAAACCATGAAGTTCTGATTATGAACTAGAACTTACCTGAAATTCAAAATGACCATGGAGCCTAATGTGATCGATTGTAGTTTCAAGTCGGATAAATAAGACCATGACATATTTTCTACATAGCAAATTGGAGTAGACAAAAATAGATGATTCTCTAAGGATTGAGTTTTATTATTTTTGAAGCTAAATACTTCATACTTTTTATTAACATCTTAAAACAAACGTTAATTATATCTATTGTCGAGAATTTCAACTTGGCTTATTTTAGAGACATTGATAGACAAATACTGTGCCCTACACTGTCTGTATGGAGTTTGAATAGAGTATCAAAGAAAAAAATACTATATATATTAGTACATATATTACTCTTTAGATTTTTTATTTATAGAATACTGTAAATTACACAGCTGAAATCGTACGCGTTATAAAGATGTCAAATTATAATTATTAATTTAGTAATGCCTCTATTTGAATTGATGTTTTACGTGACACCGTCGATACTTTTAGATTGATAAATAAAAATGGCTCTGAGAAAATAAGACAGGCTGTTAAACAGTTTTCGATAGACGCGATTTTAGCAAGAGTTAGTTCCCATTGATCACCATATTGGAGGTCAACAAGCCGTGATTCCTTCATTATTCAACCAATTTAAACTTGTCATACTGAGCAATGAGAAGAAGATAAAACAGTTTTTCTTACGAATATATGTTAACAAAAGCCTTCAATTCATATTTTAGTATTCTAAAGATTTTTGCCCTTATATTTCTGCCATACAATTTAAAAAAATTGGTTGTTCGAAGAGGAAAATTCACTAGTTTGACCACCAAGATGGCAGCCAAGGGAAATAACTCAAAGAGAAAATACGTCTTTACAATTAATTTTGACACGAATGACAAACGTCTTACTCTTAATGATATTTATCTTTTAAAGCAACCGGTATTAACCATCTACTCTCCAAATACAGACATTTAACTTTTTTATCATAATCGTACTCAAAATGCAACGTACCTAGTCTATGATTTGCCGTGGGCATGCGTGTTTAGATTTTTTACGCACTTCCTTCATAAATATTCATGAAAAGGTAGCAATTTTTAATTGCAAATCTTGCTAAATTACTTTGTAACTACAACAACTTAGTAAATTTTCGGGAAAGCATTAATTTTTCATTTCAGAAATCATTCAATCATTTTGTTTCGCATAAAAAATCAGCCTTTATATGACATGTATAGCTTTAAATAACAAAGTTCTACGTATGCAATCTCGGTAGCAGTTACTTAATCATAATGTTTATTCATCCTTACATAACTTCCTCAGCAAAGAAGACAGGTGAACAAGGCAAGCATAATATCTATTATGTGACAAATATGAAAGTGAAAAAATTAAATTTCAATTATGACAAAAATTCTTTCATATTTCATTTAACACTACATTTTTTGTAAAATCACCACAAATCGCAAAAATTTCAGAAAGATTGAAATTATTCGTCTATAAAATATACATACATGTACACCGAAGAGGGCAAAAATGGTCAATTCTTTATACTAAAACACATTTTTTTCCATATGAGTGGGTCGTCGTTCCTTTTTTTTTTCTTTGAAAAGTTGTGCTCAACTTTTCCGTAAAAATATACATTCTTCCGTTAAGAAAAACTTGGAACAAGGACCCACTATACCTTAAAAATACACTTTTTTGACACAACATTCCTATCTTTCCTAGAAATATTTGAAGTCCATTTAGTCAAGGGTCATACCACAAACATGATTTTAATGCCAGTTTTTGTTATTAGCGATATAGCGTAGTGGTTATCGTGTTAGTCTCAATGGTAAATTTGATACTGAGGAGTTTTATTGCTTGGGATCGAACCCCAAGAATGCTACATATTTTTTATAAAAAAAGTCAAACAATGATTTTTGCGGGAAAAATTTCTACAGAAAAGTTTTGTTTGACATAATTTCTTACCTTTCTCATCTTCACAATGTCAAAGTTTAGTGATACAATTCCTTGACAAAAGTCACTATTTAAAGTCGGGCTTGTGATTACACATGACATGATGGTTAATTATAAACTGGTCCAACCAGTGAGAATATATCTTTTAAATCCGTCGTTTTCAAGCAGATCAAAGCCACACACAATTTTTGTGATTGTAAGGGGGGGGGGGGTGAGTCTTCCAAAAATTAATCTATATTTTACTTGAGGTAATCTGTCACAAATCCTACAATATTGACACTTTCAATTTTAAAGACAAGTCATATTTGGTTATAAAACCTTCTGTATTCTGATTGGTCCCAGTCCTAGACCAAGAGCAAATGAAATGGTAGCTTTTACCCCGACTTTTTTAAAATAGCGACTTTTGTCAAGGGTTTGTGTAGAGGAACGATATCACAAAATCTTGACATTGTGAAGGTGCACCTTTCTGTGATAAGAACTTTACTCTAAATACTTAATTCACAAATTAAGTATGACTCTTTTTCTTTTGAATCTACAGGCATTTTGCACGCCTTGTTCGCCCATCTCCTTTTGAAACAAGAGAAGGATTTAGGTTTAACAGTATCAAAAAAGATATATACTGTATATCAAAGAAGCAGTAAACGTGAGAAAGGGATTGGAAAATTTTAATATGTACTTACCCCTCTCCGCTTCAGTTCGAATTGCTGACGTGTTGATATTTGAAGCTGTTCGGAGATCTGACTGTTTGCCTATCTTGTCATCTCTGGTTTCATTATCTGTAAAATACTCTGAAACGTATGTATCAATCGTCTCAAAAGAACTGTCACCTTTCATGCCGTCAGTTTGTTCCGGGCTATAGTGCACAAAAGCCTAGAATCACCAATTGTTCACAAACACCACAAATATTGAATTTTCATTAATTAGGAAAGCACTAATTATCTAAATTAGGTAAGTTCATTAAAGAGTAAAAAAAAAAATTATACGTCCAAGGTTTACTGTATGAAGAACACTTTCGCGTTTCCTCTTACCGATTCAAACTAAATCAATTTCTGCTTCTGCAGCTCATGTACATCAAGTGTGCGATCAACACGTTGGATGTATAAAAGCGTCAGTTTACGGAGATTTTTATGTAACCCGTGCAGAAAACTAGTACCGCACCTTGGACTTCGTATGACTGACAAGTTCTTTATCCTTAAATTGGTCAGAAAACAGGAAACTGCCGTTGATTTTTTTTTTAAATAATGCTCCATAAAACAATCGTGGCTTTGAAAAAAATGTGAAGTTTACATGATAAGAAAAGATGAGATCCCAGCTGGTATTTTTATGGTTTTATAAATTGATTTTCTTGAACTGCCTCTACAAATTGAAAAAAATCAGAATGATAAATTATTGTACGCCGACATTTGCGCAGCAGGTATTGGAAAAGAACAATGTTAAGAATTACACTCAATAATCATCGGAGCTGTATTTTTTTTCTGTATCAATGGTAACTTTATCTACGGACTCGATTTCAAAAAGATCTAAGAAACCGAGACTTTCTGCAACACCAATCCATACTAGAACACCTGCTACCCTAGCTTAATCATGAACTAGCAGCCATTCAGTGAATCATGTTGCGCTGGCCTAGATGTTGCGCAGCTCAAGAAGCTGCACTTTACGATCCTCACCCCCGTATTTTTTTTTATCTAAACATTAATCACCACTAGTTGGTCAGAATTATCATTACTAAGCGCTATGCACGATTTTGTACTGGAATTTGACGTAGGTTTACTTATGCTAACTACATGTACATGTAATACCACTTTTTCTACTAGATTCTGCAATTATTCACAGATGTGGACTCTGAAATATATTTACTGGACAGATATTTTTTTGTCCTGCTTTCACAGTCATATTTTGAAATTAAATTTCCATATATCAATAAACAATTTTTTTTATTAGTCGGACTTCAATTAAATTTTCAAATAGAATTAATATTTCTGTAGAAGTCGATTTGTCATGTGCAGAGGTTAACATTCCCGAGTTCAACATTCACGAAGGATATGAACATAATAATCCAGTGTGAAATACAACCTGTGCAATATTATACATGAAATACGTCAATTGAAAGATAATCACACTAAACATCATTGGAAAATGTTTACCTTTATGTTCAGTAAGTATTGTGTGTTTAATCTCTATTGATGATAAGCTATTCCTATAAAATAAGCTCACCTGAAAATCAGTCTTTGTTAATATGCATTTTTAAAAATCTCGGTAATAAATTCTTGGTCTTGAAAGACCACAATATTAGTGTCATTACTTGACAAAATGTGAAAAATAACTCCAACTTTGAAAACAAATCATCATTACATTGGTTTGATTAATCAATGAAGCCATCATTTTATAAGTATACTGGTATTACCAAAATTGTTGATTCGGAATCTTGTACATCCATCGTGCTAATTTTTATTATCAGCAATCAAAGCAGGGACAGGGGTGGGGGTGTTACAATGTAAGGGGGGAATATTTGCTTTATAGTAAACTTTCTCCGGGGGAAATAATATTATTTAGTAAAGTATCCTATATGACAGTTATATTCCGAGGGGAAGCTTCACTACATAGTAAACATTCAGGGGGAAGGTTTACTATGCCGAAAGTTTACTAAGGCCATCTGTAACTCCAAACATAAAAAAAGGATTAAGGATGTGTTCTGCTGAGATAACTTGCATAAACTTTTCAATTTTGGCACTTTAATTCGATGTATTCATTATTTGAAATAAAATATGAAGTAGAAAAATATGAGTTAGTGCACATATTTTTGAGATACAAGGCATTGAAAATATAGCGAGAAACAAGTCTTCTTGGAATTTTTCATAGACAATGAATGAAAAATTCCTTTCTCTAAAAAACATGATCTGGAATTAAACTTTTTTTAGTAGAGACTACCATATTTTCAGAAGACTATCAAAACTACAAAGAATCAAAATGCAAATAGATAATGGGGTAAGTGGGCAAAAATTTATGCATATTTTGATGGATAAAACTAGAGAAGTTCCGTAAAAATGGCTGACACCTCTAACACCAGCAGAATACATCCTTAACTTTCACCCAATTTTTATGAATTATACTGAAACGCAAAAGAAACGCAACATCCTAATTTTAGGGGGAAAATTATATACAGATTATAACTTTGTACTTAAAAAGTTAGGACATCTTCATCTTTGCCAAATAAGTAATTTAACGGTTGAATGATTTTCATTCCATTACCGGAAGGTGATTTTGAGCCCTCTTATCAGAAATCAAAAATTGCATGTTTAATAAAATATTTGACAATAACTTGGATTTTCAAGGGTGTGTAGCTGCATGTTAATCATAAGTATTGCACTAATATTTCGAGGAAAAAATCCTTCTTTCTTTTCCCGAAGTGATGCCAATATTTCCTCAAAATGACTGAAAGCACGCATTTTCATTGCTCTTGCTGGAAATTCTCAAAATAAAGGTAAAGGAGAGTTGCAGATGTAATTATGCACTACATAACGACTAATCAGGCTCATGGGTTTCCAAAGCATGAATGACAGTTCTTTGACCGGAAATCCAAGGGTTACTACACTACGCCAGGTTAGAGAAAATTCGACCTCAGTATCTGAAAAATAGGCACTTAAAAATGCCTAAGAATATTTCTTTCGTTCAGATCAAGAGATTGATAAATCTAATGCATCGTAAAAATCGAGCTGCAATTGTTGCATATGGCGGACTAGCACGCTGTAATTGAATGGTCGGAAGGGGGGATGTTTTAAGAGTTATGTTACTTTCTAAGGTTTAAAGATAACATTCAAAAATGAATACAGTAAGGTAAAAATCAATTTACAAATATCAGATATTTGATTTAAACGTTGAATGTTATCTTTAAACCTTAGAAAGTAACCCATAACTCTTAAAACACCCCACCCCTTTCCGACCATTCAATTACAGCGTGCTAGTCCGCAATGTACAACAATTGCAGCTCGATTTCTACGATGCATTAGGTTTATCAATCTCTTGATCTGAGCGAAAAAATATTCTTAGGCATTTATAAGTGCCTGTTTTTCAGATACTGAGGTCAAATTTTCTCTAACCAGACATAGCTTAGTAACCCTTGGACTTCCGGTCAAAGAACTGTCATTCATGCTTTTGAAACGCATGAGCCTGATGAGTCGTTATGTAGTGCGTATTTGCATCTGCAACTCTCCTTTACCTTTATTTTGAGAATTTCCAGCAAGAGCAATGAAAATGCGTGCTTTCAGTCATTTTGAGGAAATATTGGCATCACATCGGGAAAAGAAAGAAGGATTTTTTCCTCGAGATATTAGTGCAATACTTATGATTAACAGTTACAAACCCTTGAAAACCGAAATTATTGTCAAATGTTTTATTAAACATGCAATTTTTGATTTCTGTTAAGGGGGCTCAAAATCAACTTCCGGTAATGGAATGAAAATCATTCAACCGTTAAATTACTGATTTGGCAAAGCTGAATACGTCCTAACTTTTTAAGTACAAAGTTATAACCTGTTTATAATTTTCCCCCTAAAATTAGGATGGTGCGTTTCTTTTGCGTTTCAGTATATTTAAAAACTAGGGATGTCGATTTCACTCGGATAGCCAAGTCAAACAATCGGGTGCTTTAGTCGAGCGATAATCGAGTACTCGTTAAAATAATTTTTCTAATGTCAATTTAACATTTCAGACTGCTTGTACATTCAATATTTAAAGGAGGGTACGGTCACATAGTGTATGACGTATTTCTCAATACAAGTATTTACTTGTAGAAATTAATACCCATACTGCTTGTATCTGAAAGATATTTTCCGTATATTTTGTCATAAACTTTTATCAAAAATACTATAACTTGTAATTTTTTCTCCATTTCATTGACTTAGATCACTTGTATCTAATTCCAGGTAAATTATTGACCCGTGACTGGTTAACAGTCAAAAGGTACTTATCACCGAAAACATTTTTAAGAGCTTGCGATAAATCTTGATGACAGAGCATATCCAGTCATGAACAATTGATTTTAGTCATCAAAGAACCATATATTTTTACCATTACATGCATGCTTAAGTATGTAATTATTCTTGTAAAAGAAATAATGTCATTAGTTTGATCTGCATCAGAGAGGTTCTAAACTTTGACACCGATAGAAGGACTAAAAGAAAAAGTTTTTCAATTTATTAACCTGAATTTAGAAATGCATTTTTAAAGAGTAACCGAGTAAAAAATATTTCGTCGATATGACCGATCGGTAGTCAAGTACTAGAATACTCGTAGTCATCCCTTATTATAATGTGAGAATAACAAGATTATCGAACATGAATCACAAGTTTTTGCACATGAATAGTTATTTTCGAATACAAATATCAACTTTTCGAATTCAAATAACAAAATCTAGAATAACAATCACAAGTTTACGAATACGAATAACTTTTCGAATATGAATAAAAAGAATTTGATCATAAATCACACTTAATTAAATGATTATTATACAATAGGAATTAACTTGGTAAAAGCTAACTAGTTTTAAGAAAATCAGCATCAGGAGGAATTAATTAGAATAACAACTTCCTCTTCCTCTTTACACCCCAATAAATGACATATTTAACAATCTATACTAATATAATGCCAGTAAAGAGAACGAAGGATGCGGGAGGGATGGTTTCTGCAGCCAGAGTAAGAGGACAATAGAAAGACTTGCCATCAGGCAGCAAAGGCCTGGGCAGATTAGAGGTGATCATAACACCCCCACCCCCTTCCCATTCCTCACAGCCGCTACCCAGTATTACCATCATTTCAATCAGGTTAAAATGTGAAATTTCTTTTCCATATGCAAGTTGAAGCACATTTGTAGGAGATGCGGAGGCAAGCATCCAGCTACCAACTGTTCTGCCAACAAGTCAGCTCTATAAATTGGGCAAGACCCCTAACGTTATTTACTACACACAGATTTATTCAGATTATCAGGAAGGGAAGACATTGGTTATTTTTAATCGCCAGGACAGGGGAAATTCAAGATCTAACTTTGCTGAAATATTAATCAGATCCGAGTAAGTCTCTCCTAAAGAACATCTTTCTGAACTAAACCTTCATTTGACAAAAACTAGTTTCTTATCAACACTTTTCTTTTTTAAAATTTGCTTAAATACAAAAAGCTTCACATAAAGCTTCAACAATTATAAATATTTGCTTTGGACACGATTACAAGATTTATTCGGAATTTTTTTTTATGTGTTCATATTTTCCAATTTACGATGGAGCTTGCTTCATTTAGTAAAAGTGATCACTTGTTTACAAATCTCACGTTGGAATACACACTTATGATATCACGAATAAATGGCATACCTGAATTCTTCAACTCTGGTCTCAGCAGAAGGATGTCCAACAAGTTGTTTCTTAAACACTCAGAGATGTAAGAATCAATGGTTTCAAAAGATCGCTCGTTCATCATCTTTATCCACTTCAGCTGAATATGAAGCTTTACAAGAGAATACAAATCACTTCATCCGATCGCAACTATTGCAGCTGAATATTCGCTTCACGAGATATTTTATTTCAAATGCATTGATGATAAATTATATACGAGTAGACGTAAGGATTTGCCAATAATCCCTCGTTATATTTGACGTGGTCAGAACTGAATAGATATCTAATTTCTGGGAAAAATTGATCTGAAATGAGGAAACTATCCTACTGGTATTTTGAATTGTATTCCTCACTTTTCTTTGAAGTCAAGTTTTAAATTCTGAATGCAAATTGCCGACATATATAATAGGTTCAAGTAATAGGGTGGAAATTACATCAATCCATTCAAGTCAGTGATTGTCAATGAACTTTGACTTCCATCGAGATTCTTGAACTGGACTGCAGACGAGGACACTAAGGTTGTTGACGATGTTGAGGGAAGCCACCCGCATACACGTCACAGATCATTGCAAGCCAGCCAGGACATCTGCTTTCCCAAATTTTTATAGATGAATGTCCATATAACGGCATCTTACTCGTTTTTCTTCAATATTTTTTCCGATAGCAAGACAAGAGCTAATTAAATTACTTTTGGCATCGTTTTACGCAGATAAACATTCCATGACCCTTCGGGTATTACAGACAGCACTAATGAGATTTTTTTTGCGATTAAGACTGAAATTTATATTTGCCTTGGGCGATATTCTCATCAAACTAAAAAAACTGGTCAGGCAAACAACATCTCTTTTAGATACTTCCGGTTCATTAATTGTTCGCTCCCTACCATTTTATGTCGCTTTCACATTCAGTTATAGACTATGTTCAAAGCTTTCAGAGGAGATTTTTCGTGACCTTTGCACGCTTGCCATTTAAAATCCGATGTCATGAAGCTCTTACAGCAGCCAGAAAAGGAAGTATGCAAGGAGTACATATAGTTATAGGCTGTGATTCAAACACAAATTTAATGATCTTATTTTCTCCAGGTCTCGATATAACAGTAGATAGAAATACAAAGGTCAAATGATGTTTAAGAGGTGTAGCAAAATTAATTACAATCTTCTCAGATATGTAAGTGCAAACATATAACAAAACAAAAGTTCAAACAAAATGAAACAATTTTCATATATATTTATTATCAACAATACTCTTTCAGTCAATTTCTACAACTGGCGTTTGTTTATTGCCGCTCATGGCACCAAAGGGAAACGCCTGCTGACTTCTGGATGAAAAGAAATTTTTTTAGTTTTCCATGTGGTATTTGTGCATAAGAGCTCCGAGCATGGGTGACCTGGACATGACTGGTCTTCTGGTCTCTAGCGCCTCAATGCGATGATGCAGCATTTCGTTCTTGGCAATTAGACTCTTGGCCAGAGTGCGACTGTAAAATGCAAAGGTTTATATTTAAATAAAACAAGTGTTAGGAGAAAACAAAATGTTAAGGAGGGCAAAGGGGGTTCTAAATTAGTGGTTTATGATTCCTATTAGTCTTTTTTTTTAAATTTAAGGTGAACATAGAGATAAGTTTTGCTGTCCGTAACAAATAGGACAGGGGAATAAAAATATGTTGAAAAGCAACACATTTTAAAAAAAAAAAACTCCCTTGTTTCTCATAATACACAGATCTACTCACGTAAAAACTCTCAAAACAAATTATTTTTAAAACATGTATATATGCATCTAAATAAATTAAATACAATGTATTTAGAAATGAGAAGTGTAACGGTGAGTCCAAAAGCACCATCTCACTTTAACTTTTATTTTTCTCCAAAATAAATTATAAAAGTTCGTTGATAATTAACTGGTTAATTCTTATGTGACTCAGTATCCAGATTGTGTGCTTAAAGCATCAAGCTAAGAGAATGCTTGTATGAGCTTGTTGACTTACTAGTGGAGAAGATCTTGGAGCAGCTCGCTGACCTCCTCCTCAGAAAAATGGCTGACAGGCATGCCGACATTGGTGGATCTGTCTCCGCCATCAACATTGATCTCAAGGTTCAAGGTCAGGGGAGCTGTAAAAGAATTCATACTATCATTTGAAGTATAAGTCATATATTGTCAATCTATTGATGGAATTACATCTGATTCTTAGAGACGTATTGGTAATTTAACTTTGCATATGATGTTGGGTTGACAAATCTATCAATTTATTTTAAAATAGATTTCGTGAAATATTAACTTTCTTTTCTCATTTAAAATTATTTTGGTGTAAATTGTTAGAATAACACAGTACAAAGAGGAAACATTACATACCTCCGTATTGGGGAGCAGGTCCCATGGGGATGGGATGGACTGGGGGCATGGACTGGGCCACCATCATCTCCTGAATCATTGGCATGTACTCCTGGGCTTTCTCCATGATGTAAGGGAGGAGTTTGCTGGGTTCATCTGTGTAAAAAAAAAAAAACATGCCACACATGCTTATTTTTTATAATTAGCTAAAAGGAGCTAAACATATTGTATGCCTTCATAGTAGAAGAATGCAATAAATTTAGTTCCTTGCAATTAATTATGTCATTAAAGGTAAAAGAGAATAAAATATAAAATAAATGTAAATAACATTAAGCTGCAGAGTTTAGCATGTGAGAAACTGTGCAATGATTCGACTTAACGTACCAACTGGGACTCCGAAAGCTCTTAATTTCTCCATGATGTTGTTACCCATGGAACCGAAGTCGAATCCGTTGGAGAAGTCGAATCCGAACTCTCGGGCCTTTTCGTTGGCGATCTCTCTCAACTTCATTAGGGACTCCTCTGGCTTCTCGGGATCGACATCGAAACCCTCATCTTTTAAGTCACTAATGATGTTCTTCACGATCATCTGCTTGAACTCCTCATTGTCCATGTCGGCTACAAGAATGATTTGACGTCATATTTCAAGTAACGTAATTGTAATATCAGTTTTACTAAAGAGTTATGACCTAGTCGAGTAATATTTATTTTTACACATAAGCATTTGAGCTAAAATATGAAACTCAGTTGATTTCAAAGTAATAATGAGGAATATTTTCTTACGTTCCACTCCGTAGGACACTTTCATCTCCTCTAAGATCTGTTTCTTCAGCTCCTCTGGGTGACTGAGGTCCAATCCCTGCTTCTCAAGGTCACCCATGATCTTCTCCTTCAGCTTGCTAACGATGTCGCTGGTGTCAACTGTATCATAACAAATTTTCCCAATCAAATAGTCTCTAATACAACATTTTATAATAAATCAGCATTCTAGATTAATTTTAAGATCGAAATAGCTTCTTTGAAGGCAACAGTACACAATAAAGATTTTATTTGGTTAATCATTTAAAAGGTTAAATATTTAGAATTAAAAAATTAGTTAAATTAAATTAATTACAAATTAAATAGTGAAAAGACTAACCATTCTCCATCTCAATATCTAAATCTTTCTGGACCTGTTCCAAAAGATCTTTCTTCATCCTGCTGACGACTTCGCTAAGATCACCTATTCAGATCAAACATTAAATCTAGTTATTCAAAAGGAATAAAATATTTTTTCTTGTTTTATGTTAACTGTTTATTTGTTTATGAATTATATTTGTAATTTTATAATCAAATGGCAAGTAAACATTGATCAGCACGCAACTTATACTTATTTACAATTTGGACTGTGTAATATCACTTGTAAATTACCCGTTACACAATTTGATTTTATATGATATAATAATTATACATGTATATATGCTATAATTACACATATGAAGGTCACCTTCAATCCCCATTCCTTTCATGGCATTCTTAATCTGATCCATATCAAATCCAACTTGACCTTTGACCTGGTCGGCTAGGGCGCTCAGATCCATGTCCTTAGGCAAATTCTTCACCATATCCTCGAGCTGGCTTTCGTCAACTCCTTAAAATTAAAATAAAATAATAAATTTATATATAATTGATTGATTAATTAAAAGATAAATTGATTAATTAAAATCAATGTTCATTTGCAAAAAATATATTGAAGGAAAAAACTCTGTTTCTAAGTTAAATACATGTATATAAAAAATGGCACTTGTCTGTTTATTTGTATAATGCTTCTGATTAGAGTATGATACACATTTGTAAATTTATTACAATATAAAAAAAAAATCCCGTTAGTTTTCGTGATTAATTTTTTTCGGGGGGGGGGGGACGGGACACATCTTTATGACGTCAGTAACGTACCCATATTGTTCATCATTTCCTTCATGTTTGGGGGAAGGTTTTTAAGGGCGTCCTGGATTTTCTCGGGTGTCAAATCTTTCAACATTTCGGGGTTGATGTTTGACATCATGCTGGAGAGATCCATTCCTCCAAACACTGTAACGATTACGACATATTGTAATTACATCAAAATTAAGTACGGTAAAATTTATGCTGTAAAAATTATAAAATGTAAATATAGGAAAATCTATCCAATTAATTGTAATTTTTGTTAATAACAAATCTGTAACCTGCAATTCAATAACGAAGCTGGGTACCTTAACTAGTACAGTTTATGATTTTTATTTTATTTTTGCTTAAAAATATTATAAACTGCTATTTCTATTTGTTTGTTTGTTTTGTTTTGTTTTTTTTTTTAGAATTATTTTAAAACATGAAAATTTCTTTTCTTTACATAATTTCAAACTTACTTTGACCCATGGCAACAGTTGCCAACAGTCCAATAATTATAATCCGGATCATTTCTGGAAAGAAAAGGGTCAACCATTAGTCTATATTCCCTAAATTATCTTCATTTATTGAACGTATACTTTTTTTAAGTTTGTTGAATAAATGTTATTGACAAATCATTTTGAAATAAATGAACCTGACTTAGAGGTTTTTTTTTTCTTTTAAATAAGATTGAAACTTTAAGAAAACGGAAATATCGAATAAATTTGTGAAAAATATTTCCAAAATACTTACTGTCTGTGAGTTCTCAAAGTAACTGGGTGGTTTTACTGCTTTTGATATTTATATACCACATCTTATGTAACATGGCAGTCCCGGGGAACATGCAGATTACGGAAGTTGCATACAACTTGAGGGCATACGACAAGGAAATGTACACGTGGAACAGAGTAGACTGCAGAGAGGACGACAGAGGACCACCCCATTCACCAGGGCTCGTTACAGTTACGTATCAGTTTGTAATACACAGGTTAAACTAAATGACCGTCTGAAATCTCTCATTACCGGGGGTTATGTGAAAACATCACGAAAATCTTATTATAAACCTGTTTGATAAGTGAATAACCTTACTCTCTAAGTAGAATATTATCATGAAATTGTTTCTTCTGCGAGGTAAGAATAAAAGAAATTGTCTGGAAGTTGAATTAGAGTAATAATGATGAATTGTTTTTAGATCAGATTTGTCAATAATTCTTTTCCACAACATCAACCGATCAAGAGTCAATCTCAAAGGCTTCCATTGATCAGTCTTCAAAGTTATTTTTTCCCAAACAGTTTTTGTATTCACAACAATTACAATTCATGAAATGTAATGCTGCGATGATGACTTTTTAATTAAATCATGCAATGGAATACGTGTTCTATATTATACTTCCACTTTGAAGAAGACTATCCATTAGCAAGGAAGGAAAATTAATAATAGGATAACATGATACGGTACGATTAATAATTCGGTATTGGTACTCTCTTGTGCAAGATTCCAATTATAGAGACAGCACTGAATTACGGCGCTAAAACGGAATTATATCAAACTTCAGATATAAATCGTCTTACATTAAATTCTGAAAAGTAAAAATCTTTCCAGAAATTGGTGTATGTCATTTGATCAAATTATTAAATGCAGGTAAGCAGACAGAAAATATCAGAAAGAAACAAGGCTCAGGTATCGGGAAAAAAATAATCTCGTCGTCGCTAAAAATTTTTACATCCACTAAATATTTACTCTCTTAGTTCCTAGGTACGGAAGCCCATTAGTGCCAACTTGTATATATAAAGGAAACGCAATATATAAAAGCAAACCTCAATATATAAAGGAAATGCGATATATATAAACAAAACCTCGATATATATAAAGGGAAATCAATGTGAAATATATAAACAAAACCTCGATATATATAAAGGAAATGCGAAATATATAAACAGAACCTCGATATATATAAAGAGAAATGCGAAATATATAAACAAACATCGGTATATATAAAGGGTAATGCAATATATATAAAGAAAAATGTCCATCGCCTGACCTTTAATGACCTTCGTTACACCAGGGATTCGCCAACATCTGATAAGCGGCTCCCTGTGCTACTGTTTGAGTGAAAACGGTAGATGTGGCTCAGTTTCAGGATGGTTTTCAGTGTATTGCGTTTTCTTTATGTGTCTTAATATGATAATTTAAATTAATTTAAAGTTTATAAATAAGACTGCTTTATTCTTACATTTCAAATGGGGCAGAATAAAATCAAAACTTTTTTGCTCGATATGTTCATTTCATGGCAATAAAAATTTGGGGTATTTTCAATTGAAATATAATCCAGTGCAAAATGCATGTCTGTGATATCATGATGATGTTTTATTCAAACAATAAAATGCTATCTTTGGTTGTTAATACTGAAATTAGTTTCAAAGAAAGTGGCTCCCATCAGCCACGTACATGTACCTTAAATCACTTGACTCGACACTAATTTAGTGTTTCGGCGGTGTGATACGAGGTTTATGATTTTTAATTTCTTACAGTTTATTACTTAGCTGCAAATCCGCCATCATCAGGATCCTATTTGCACATCTGTTATACAGATTATTTAATTAGTGAGGAGGTGATCATATCACCCAAATTTTTTATTGCGTTTATATGACACAATAGGCAATTCAGAGAAAATTGCATTGCAGTTTTTATCATTACTAAGAATGTGCCAGTATTTGTTTCAAAGAAAGTTGCTCCCATCAAGTCAAGTGATTCAGGGTATTTGAGGTACGTGGCTGATGGGAGCCACTTTCTTTGAAACCAATGGGGATATACTAGACTAAGTATATTATTTTTATAATAGATTTAAATTAATTTGAATTAGGGCATTTAAAAAACTTAACTTGTTAAGAGTCCATGTTTAACATTAATTTCATAAATTCTTGGTTGTGAAACCAAACTTAAGGTAATATACGGCTAATTTTTGTAAAACAGTAAACAAGGTACAGTAGTTGTAAAAAGGAAGTTGATCAAAATACATGTAAAGCCAATAAATACACAGAAAATATGATAAACATACTTATTTCATGAATACATAATTAAATGCTCATCTACTCAATCAAATGCATTATATTAAGTAATGCTACAATTACAGTTCATCGATATATACATGTATAAATAAACAAACACTATTAAATAGCACCATTCTGCTGATTCTGGGAAAGTAATACAAGAGTACTGTAAAACTGATTTCCCCCTGCCAGGAGTTAATCTGTATATAATCTTGATGGACAGCTGAGCGACACAGGTTACGCAGTGGAAAATTTTCTGTTTATATATATCGCATTTCTCTTAATATATATCGAGGTTTTGTTTATATATTTCGCATTTCCTTTATATATATCGAGGTTTTGTTTATATATTTCGCATTTCCTTTATATATATCGAGCTTTTGTTTATATATTTCGCATTTCGTTTATATATCGAGGTTTACTTTTATATATTGCTTTTCCTTTATATATACAGTTTGGCACTAATGGGCTTCCGTACCTAGGAAAACCAATTCCATTAATCAATCGATTAACTTAAGACTAGTTTATAGAACCTTTTTTAAAACCATCTGTATGAAATATGTCCCTTAGAGAGTGGTTTCTTCCAGCACTGCAACGTACAGACCAATTATACAATATTTTACACATTTCACTCACTTTATATTATTAATACATAAATAACTATAAAAAATAAAATGTCTCTTTTTTTCAATACGGGGATTAACGGTTGCAACGAATGCAGAAAAAAGTCATATAAACCGCTTACGCGGGTTTTCAATTGTTTTGTTTTGTTAGTGGATGTAAAAATATCTGCTTTAGGAGTGATAAGTATCATTAGAATTCATAAAATTAGCTTTGTTTTCTATACTGAAGTATATACTGGCAAAATATATGGGGGGGGGGGGGGTTATGCCCCACGTGTCCCGGTTCCCACAGGCCTGTCATGACCTTTATGTAAAATGTATCAGAAAAGACACGCATTTTGAGGAAACTTGTGTAATTGTACAAACATCCATCGGTTATCAACGATGTCATCTCTAACGGTTAACTGCAATTAATTAAGTCCGTAATAAAAACAAAATATCAATTCTCCCTCCCTTTGGGTATATGTTTATATGCCTGTTATTTGTGTTTATACTGTTTTATAATGTGTGTCTCTTGCACCAGTGATCTGGTTTTGAGTAAATAAAGAATTGAAATTTAAAACACAAGTGAAAAATACGAAATATTGTTTAGAAATTTTAATGAAAACGTGGTATACAAGAATTATTGCTGGTAGATCAATTAAAACAATACTAGTCCTGATTAACATTGTGTTGTTCTGGGTAGAGCTGCGGGTCTACATCTGATGTCTTCTATTTATTTTTCTATCATTTATTCCTCTGTATCAGATCTGGCCATGATGGCGGTAATCATGGGTGACCTTGACATAACTGGTCTCTCCAAGGCCATAAGACGGTGCTGCAACATCTGGTTCTCAGCGATCAGTCTCTTCGCCATGTGGCGGCTAAAAAAAAGAACAAAGTTTTAGCTTTTATCACATAATTCAGTTGGTTTTGCTCTGATTGGTTACCACTGTTACTTACTAGTGAAGGAGGTCCTGGAGCATTTCCATCATCTCTTCTTGCTCGCCGTATTCTGAATTTGTAATAAAAAAATCGTTTGAACAAATGTTAGAAGGTTTAAATCAAAATATAGAAGAATGAGAGGATCAAAATACGATGAAATGTGATTTGTTTTTTTTTTACCAGTCATGTTGGATTTAACAAATGAATGCAAAATAACAACATCAGTATCACTTTCATTCGATGTTGCTTGGCTTCATTTTCGTGTGAAAATTTTAATGGATAATAAACAGAAAAGAATTTTTCGGAGAAATAAATACTGGAGAACAAAAAAGTTACTGAGATAAAGTTACTAGTCAACGATATTTCGAATGATTAAATGAATGTTTGGAAACTTTTCTTTGCTAACCAAACACAGATCTTGATAATTCAACCAAATTTTATTTCATATGTAAAGTTTTAAATTTAATTAAAATATCCAAAACCTTTTTTTGTTCACAAAAACAATTCAATGGTCACATAAAGGTAGATAAAACATAAATATAGTTATATGATTCAAGTGCTGTAGCAGGCTCAGTTGGAAAATAAACTTTTGTGTAACACTGTATAACAGACTATGTTCTTTCACGGTACCTTGTACATTTACTCAATGATAGTTAAAATGGAAATATAAAGAAGTGTAGAAACAAAAAGATTGTATTTTTAAACATAAGTTGTAATTTGTTTCAGCTATTTTTTTTACTAATGACAACAACTTCAGACATTTTGATGCCCCCCTTTTTTTTTTAATCTGAGTCATTCGCAAAATTTGCGATTTATCATAGCTTAAAACTTCAATATTATCTGACTTACGGTATCTGTCACCGAAACTTGGTTGGTTATCACCATCGATGTTGATTTCAAGGTTAAGACTCAAGGGCATGGCTGAAATTTTGAAATACTAGTATGTTAATTTAAAAAAAAAATCAAAGTTTACAAAGTTTCAATGCATTAAACTATTTTCATTACGTGACAGGGACGGACTTTATGTACTGACCGAATGGTGGACGCTGCATTGGCATAGGGCGCATGATGGGGATGGGTCTCATCTGAGGCATCATCTGGGGAATCACCTGAGGTACAGGCTGGGGCTCTGAAAGGATATTTTCAATACATCTTTAAGCCATCAATCAGAAAAATATATGTTTTAATTAGATTAATATAATGTCTTTTTTTCTGATAGGTGATAAAAACAGAAACCCAATTTGAGAAAGTGACCCATAGGCCTCAACGAGTACCATACTGGCCCTGATGTTCTTCAGAAAAAAATTTAAAATATTTTCCCCCTCATTATTTCTACAAAGAATTTTGACCCTATACTACGGTGTGGCCCCACCCTAGTCAAGGGGGTCATGACTCAGCTTATCGAATTTGAATCCATACAGCATGGGGGTGCTTTGATATGAACTTGACTGACACAGCTTTGTTTAAAAAAAATCTTATACATGTATAAACATATTCATTATGTATTTTTTTTTTATTTTAGCCCTACTCTAACCCCAAGGCCATAACTTGAGAACATCGTGAAGCATCGGAACTTTGAAATTCTTGCCTAAAATTTAAAATCGTGTCCCGCTGATATTCTTCAAAATAATTTTTTAATCCTCTATATACTTACAATTAAAACTTTGAATCACCCCTGGGGTCATCATTTGAACAAAAATGAAACTGCATTCCATATCAGTTATGCAAAATTTGGAAATAATATGTGAATATACGAGTTATATTTCCTTTAAATAAAAAAAAAACGCAGGTAAGAATGGAAGAAATTGAAACATTACAATTTGATGGTTAATGCTTTGATTTACTATAGTAAATATCGTACCTTAATATTAATAGTAAAAAGTTTGATAGTTTAGTAAACTATCGTTAAGTATAGTTCAATATAGTAGTTTGTTTTTGTTGTTGAAGTATGTCAGCGATTTTAAATCTCAAGGACTTTCTAAACTTACGCATGTTGCTGAGGAATTCCATAATAAGTGGCTGGTATTCCTGGAATTTTTCTGCCAAGTATGGGATCAGTTTCTCCTGGTCATCTGAAACAAATGCAAAATGATATTTTTAAATTTATTTTCTTAAAATTTGTGATGGTTTTTATGATGGGACAATTGTACACACCAACAGGAACGCCCTTCTCTCTCATGACCTCCATGATCTTTTGCTTGATTTCGGGCCATTCCATCTCCTCGTTAATCTCGAAGCCGTAGTCTTTGGCCATCTCCAGGGCCATGGATTTCAGCTTGATAATAGCTTCCTTGGGTTCTTCTGTAAAAAGGTCGTCAAAAAGAATGACGTCATATGAGTTCCAAGTATTGTAACCAGACGGTGTGAGGGAGCAGAGGTGATATATTTTAGAACTACTGCCTAACTTCGAATTTGTACAAAAAGTTCAATCAAAATAATTTATGTAGTTCTGTTTTCTAAATTATTGCCTGGATTTTTGCATTAAAAAGGAGAGTTAAATTACACGTGTTAAGAAATTGCAACATCAAGTGTCTCTGGGGGGAAAGAATTACCGGGGTCAATGTCGTATCCCTGCTGCTGGAGGTTGATCAGAACGTCCTTGATGACAATCTTCTTGAATTCCTCATCGTCCATATCGGCTAAAATAAAAAAAAAATGATATGAGACTAGAATGTTGGAAACTAAAACTGAGCGATTTTTTTTTATGCTTGAGAAAGCGAAAATTTGAATTCTCGATCTACTCACGGGAGACTCCGAAGTAAGCCTTGGCCCTCTGGATCATAGATTTCTTTGTTTTCTCCGGATCTTCGGGATCAATGTCTACTCCTTCTTCCTTCATACGGTCAATGGCGACCTGCTTAAGTTTGCCAACAATGGACTCTTCATCGTCTGTACAGAAATTAAAAATATTTTTAGACGCCAAGACACATAATTAATAGTACACACAAATTTTAATTTAAAAAATAAATTACCATTGTCAATATCAATTCCAAAGTCATCCTTGAATTTACTTTTGAGTTCATCGATGATCTGGGGAAGCTCGTCAACTGCAATAAATATAAAGTTTTTTTTAGTTAAATTCCAAAATGCTTCAGTAATTCACTAATGTTTAACATGATTTGTAGTTTTAGCTGACCTGGTACACCCATCCCCTCCAATGTTGCCTTGGTGCCGCTGATTTTTTCGGTCATCATGCCAGCGAGCTTTTCGGGGTCTTTGGGAAGCATTTTTACGGCCTGCTCAGCCTGTTCTTTTGATATACCTGCAATATTAATGTCAGTTATTTTCAATTGTCATCTTCTAGATATTTTTAATTTTGTTCACCAGTTGTCAGATATATACAATAGTAACAAAATTTCGGAATATGTTATTAAACGCGAAACGGTTTTGAAACGAAATGAAAATACAAATGTATTTTTTTTTCTTTTTCTGTTTAACTATCATTTGATTTGGAACAGAGTTAAACATTCGTTGTTAAACCTTTAGATTTAAAGGTTTAACAACGATGATTTAACTCTGTTCCAAATCAAATGATAGTTAAACAGAAAAAGTTTACTTACCCATTCCTTCCATCATTTTCTGTACCTGGGGGCTTTCCAAAGCCTGGTTAATTTTTTCGGGGGTTAAATTTTTAATAGCATTTTCGATCGCCCCTGGTGGCATGTTTTTCATAAGCTGTTGCATGTTTCCAAGGTTTCCCATAAGGCCACCCACTGAAAGTGAAAGTTTTTCTTCTTTTATTTATTTTATAATTTCCCAAATCTGTTTAATATGCCAAATATTTGTTGTCCATTCGAAATATAAAATATGCCTAAAAACTTAATTCAGTTTAGATATAGAAAATACATCAATTAATAATAGTTATCCAGGGAAAAATTGATCAATCCATTGTTATCTGTACTTTAGCCCTGCAATTAAATGTCTCTATTGTATAATTATTTTTTTATTGCTGTAGATTCCTTATTTTACGCGAGTATTTAATATCGCGAAATGTTTCATGAAGTCGATTTGCGAGACCAATAATTTGCGAGTGGACTGTTGATCAAGAGTCTCTACATGTATTTCAGCAAAAAATTGAGCATTTTATTTCGCAAGTGATGCTTCTCGCAAAACAATGCAATAAAAAAAATTCTTGCTTATATTTGGGAATCTATAGTATATGGCAAAGAAAAACATAATAAAAATGTTGTTCACTTACTGGCTCCCAAGTTCATACCACCCAGATTCATGCTAAAGGCCACAGAGGCCAGGGCCCCTAGAAGTACTAATCTAAGCATTCTGGAAAAAAATATGATGAAACAGTGATATTATTTTTCCAACAGAACAATACTGGAGAATTAAATTAACACTCCTGTGATCATACGAAGCAGAAAAATACCAAAAACTGTGTTTACATACTTCTTGTTGGAATAAATGTTCAGGTCTTACTAAAACAAGTTGCCGCAATACATATACCCTATAAGAGGTCACGTGACAAAACATGACAAAACCAAGGGGTGTTTGGCAAAGGATATATGATGTGAGCAAATACGTGTCGAATATTGTTTGGGTTTATTGCTACATCCTAACTTCTCTTGCCCCGGGTGAAAAAGAAGAAAGTGCTTGTTGGTTGGTTATTCCAGTATGTGAAGAGCCCGGGTGTAATCGGTAGCTTTCCCTACACGAACTGACTAATCTTGGGATCCAATTATATTACTTTACGTATTGTGGTTGTGTAATCAGAGTTCATAGATACACTTTATCATTCAGCAATGATAAATGAGATCACTGGATGGACATATATATGCTGAAAGTTAGCCCCCTATTTTATATTTTGTTACACATGAACATACAAATGAGGGATTATTTTCTTACCAAAAATCCTTGTACTTATTAGATTTATGCCAAAATGGACTACAGATGGTCATTTTAAAGTAATATGACAAGACTTTAATCAACGAACAATTTCATTTGGACTCTCAAAAAGACAGATGTTTGTTCAAAGAGGTCCTTTATGTTTTAAAAAAGCTGGTTCTTAATCTCTAATTGTTTTTCAATCTTGCAATTTGTCAAATGTAATGCCGGAGCATTTTTTAAATTTTGTTAAGGAGGCTGGGGGTCAACAAATTAACCATCAGATATAACTTAATTTTTTAGATATATCTTAAGCTGTCAACTATCATTTGGCAAACAAAAATTTCATACATTTTAGTTTTAAAATTTGATCATTTTTGTATATCTTTATATGGAGCTCTTCTTCTAAAGGAGATCAATGTAGTCTGAAAATGGCCACAACCACCCAGCCCTCTTAATGCATAAAATTATTCTATGTTTTGAATGAGTACATTTTTAAATTAAAAGTCACAAATCACAATTGCATAGCCCTCCACAAAAAAAGGAACTCCGACACTTGCACCCCTTTTGCCTTTGAATTCGCGGGAAAAAAGCAATCACTCGAGTGTGTGTTTGTCCTAAAATGCAAAGCAATATAAATGAACACAATGTTTAATATATATGTAGTTAAAGTAATCTGTCCTAGGATCTAAAATAAAATGAATTGAAATCTATCGTGTATTACGCAATTTGTAATCAATTCAAGCAAGCATTCTTAGCATCTAAATAGACCAAGATGAAATACCTGAACACTTATTTTCATGTATCCCCCTCCCCACTTAAGGATCCATGCATCGAAGTCTTAAACTTTTTTTTTTTTTAGATATATATTCCCCATAAAACGAGTTCCAATAATTGGAGGACATTTGTGTGATTATATGATACCAGGTAAGGCCATACAACATCCTCTGAATCAAAATTTGGGGAAATACAGCAGAAACTTTATTTTTGTTAATTTTTCTTTGAAAAAGAACCAAAAAGATTTCCATCATTTGATATCCGTTCAAAAAAACCGACAATGTATGTTGATTTTTTGTCTAAGAACATCTGATGTTACAAAGACATTAAATTGAGAATATCTTGGAAAATTATCAGTGGGAAACCGAGGTACTTTGTTAAGTACATTTACATGTATATTGCGTATGACCATTAGTACACGACAGTGATTTTTGTTCTTCAGTACTTCGTTGTCTTTGAACATTTTTCCTGCGGGTAAATAACAGGTACCCTATGCTGATCATGAAATATAAACTCAATATATGCGTATAATTTTGTCAAAAATCAAAGACATTTTGCTTCAGTGTCTATCTAGAGCGCTCTTTATGTCTGTTGTAGTTACCAAAGCCTGCCCACAGCTTTCACAAATAATTCTAATATTTTTACGTCATAGAAGTATAAGTTCTCCAGACATCTTGCTACTAAATAACACCGCCACACTTTCAGAGTATTGATAACATAATATTTTCAACAATAAACGTATGATTAAATTAAAAGATATTTTGAAAACTGCGTGCATTATCATTAAAATCGATATAACGGTATGAGAAATTTCTGGACAACTTATAATTTCAATAATAAGGTTCCCGTATTGATATGAGGCTTTATCGTTCAAAAGAACTATCTGAATACTATACCAGTAATCATTACTGTTTCAGTTATCGGTAATGGCGCAATAATCTTGTTTGTTCGGTCATAAACGACCAAGTCCCTTGACAGTTTAATTTTTCAGAAAGGCACCGCTCTAAACAAAAAGATAAATAACATGTACTCAAAAATATCGTAGGTTGTTTTACTGGAATGTTTTACTGCTTGTTAGATTAAACCAGATGAAATCGTTCATTAATGACAAGGTTCCAAATTCACTTCCGGTTAAAGATCCATCTTCTGCTGTCACGAATTACGCTGTTTTTTGCGGGTGAAATCTTTGCTAGATTGAAAACATTGCCTTCAGGCGCTGCCTACTAAATATGTACAATCATGTAGTTGTTTTTGGCTTGTAATACAATCTGACATTAACCAATATTTTCTGTTATTATCAGAAAGTGGAAATACTTCAACATGCAACGAGCCTCAAATAATCTAAATAAATACTAGTACATTAAACAAACACACGCACTTTGGAAATCTAGCATTTAGCAGAATCAGTACAGGTCACGTTAAGTGTAATCGCTAAACTTTTCAACTTTTTTTTAGACAGAGTGATTGTGCTATAGAATAATATTTTCCTCATAAATCCTAAATCCGTTTATTTTCTACTTCACCCTGTTCATCCGCAAATAAAGCGTTTCTTTTCTAATCCTTAATAACTTAACTTACTGTGTTTATTAGATATGAGTCGTGTACCCAGCTCTGATTTAACATAATATTTCGCGTAATCTTTCCTATGATATACAATATTAAATTATTAAGATTAAGTCTTCTTGCATTGTCTCCCTCTGAATAGAAGTGTGAATTATTTTTAGTGGCAATGTTCAAGATAAATAGTGTTATAAGTACCTATAATATACAAATGTATTATCTCATGAGAAATTCTTCTCATTAAAATTATGTTGCAAATTCTGGACATCCAAAACTACAATGGAAAATATAGTATAAACAACTTACAAATGACCCCCCCCCCCCCCAAAAAAAAGAAAATGTGTTCGATATCAATATGCATGGTATTGTTGCTATTTATAGCCGAGTACTAATTCGAATGACCAAAAACCCTGAGACCGGATTTAAATACCCTTGACCTAATTATAAGGAAACAGAAATATTACGCTTAACATTTATAAATAATATTATGTTGAAAACGAAAAGAAATTTAATAGTGGTAACACACACACACTGTACACACACACACACACACATATATATATTTATGCATGTGCCTTATCCATATTCTTTTCTCTGTGTGTCATTCTGCGTGCATAGGAATCAAATATGCCCTAGGATGCCTAGGGGTTGATCTAAATCGAATTTGCATGAACAAGGAGCGGATAACCGAGAAATGAAATAAAAAGGTGTAACTCTTCGACCGTAGCATATTAATAAATTTACACAGCTAAATATTTTAATTTAATTTTCTCCTTTATTTGTTATGAAAACCGTATTTACCTGATGACAAACACAATATACTTCTAAATACCAGTACTATATGTACATGTAGTTAGATCCGGTGACGAATGAATTTTGAAAGTTGAGCCGGTGTTCATTTATCAACGTTGAATTTTGAACACTGTTGAACCGGGGTTGGTTTTCAACGTTGAGATTTGAGACCGAAAGTCGTTAATTAAGTTTTCTTGGTTTATTACGTTTGGGATGGGAATTTAGCTCCTTCTTTTTTTTTTTTTTTTTTTTTTGCTTGTCAAGAAATTTTTGGGGTAAGAATTTTTTTGACTGGGAAGGACCCCCTCCCCCCCACCCCTGGAAAAAAAAATCCTGGATCCGCGCCTGAATATCATTATTTTTTTTGTTTGTCCAAAGTATGAGAATGCCAGAAATTTTTTTATCGTAAATGTGTAAGAGGGCGTAATAAGTTTTCAGAACTTGTGCCCTATCCCTTTGTAACTATAAATTGAAATAAAATATATGTTCAAACCAAACCAAACCAATTGTGACTTTACCACTTTTCAACACACAAAGTATGCCTTTTTACCTGTTTTATATATATAGAGAGAGAGAGACAGAGAGAGAAAGCAAGAGAGAGGGAGAGAGACGTCTGCAACAGAAAAAAAATAATTTGTGCTCGTTTTTTAACTATGTTGAGGAATCTTATACCCTGTAATTATTTGTGGAAAAACTTGCATGGCTATAAAATCTCATTTGGAAGTTTGGGTGTAATTTACCTGGATAGGAAAGAATAGTCCAGTGTCATGAACTTCTCAATAGACGTCGATCACAGGCACTTGGGGTATGGACCCCCCCCCCCTTTTCCATTTTTTCCTTTTTAAATCTGGGGTCGAGTCACCTTTATCACTCTTGTCTCTATAAGCTGATCATAAATGTATCAGTCGAAAACGATATATTTAAAAACAGCTCATAGAGACAAAAGAGTTACATTATTGATAACATACAGTGCATATTAGAATACAAAAATAGGAAAAAGGTGACTCGACCCCAGATTTAAAAAGGAAAAAATGGAAAGGGGGGCCCATACCCCAAGTGCCTGTGACGTCGATGTAAGTAAAAAAAAAAACTAAATAAAAAGTATGAATAATGCTGGTTGATTTCTGATTTGCAAATGGTTTTTCTAACTCAACTGCAAAACATTACGAAGAGATGAACCAAAAATTTTGGGTTGCCTGGTAATATTACGGTGATCTTGTTTTTATTCAGTAATTTAGTGAAATAATTATACTGAAACGCAAAAGAAACGCAACATCCTATTTTAGAGGGGAAAATCATATAAAGGATATAATTTTGTATCTAAAAAGTACGGATATCTTCAACATTGTAAGTATCGATAATTTAACGGTTGAATGATTTTCATGCCATAACCGGAAATTAAGTTTGAGCCCGCTGAACAGAAATAAAAGATTGCATGTTTAACAAAAAATTTGACAAAAATCTGGGTTTTAAGGGTTTTTATCTGTTTATCATAAGTAATGCAGCAATATTTCGCAAAATAAATTCT